CAGTAAATGTTTGTGGAATTGTACCAACTAGTTTCAACTTCCAAACTTACATACTGATCAGCCAAGAGGGGAAATGTGAGTAAACTAGGAAGAAGGAAGAAGAGGAACCTTACTTTATAAGGGGAACAAACAGTCTTGTCATTGTGGGCCTCACTGTGTCCTCACTGTGTTGCCTTTTTTCTATTCTGAACGCAGACGGCTTCTGGACACTCTAAACTGTCAAGAGCACTGTGGGCTTCCCAGAGTAGCCGCTTTGTATGGCTAAACACAGGACGGACTTTCCTTTTGCACTTTTTCGGGGTAGGTTTATGGACAAAGTCGTTGTGCCTCTCCTCCTGGCCTTAGCCCTCTGCAGATCGTTCTGGGGTTTGGGTTCATGAAGTACAAATTAGCATAATCCGATTAGATTAGCTGCTGAGGGGGCGTCTCTGGCCTGAAAAGCAGAGAAAAGAAAAGTGTCTGACAAAGAGGGGAGCCTGGAGCTGGGAAGGAGAGGGGCACAATTGCTCCGATGCTGCAGGCCTGAAAGCTTGCACCTGCACAAGCCTCTTGTAAATAAGGACTCTTAGATGGTATTAAACAGGGGACTGAGGATTCTGCGGGGAGGCTCAGGGTGGTAAGCGTGGGGAAGAGAAAGGCAAGACAGCAGCTCTGCATCCCATTAATTGATTTATCTGGATTGGCGAGACCGGGGTTGCTGACAGAGAGAATGCCCGTTTGATTACTACTCAGCATTGAGAGTGGGTCAGCCCCATAATCTGGTCTATCGAGATAAGCGCTTTAGAATCTCTGCAAGAGACTGATAAGGGGTTTACTTGTCAGGAACAAAGTTCATTGGATGTTTGATTTCAGTACTTTCTGAATGGGACCTGCATATCTTTTCCTTTATTTCTGGAAAAAGAAGGGGGGAAAAGATAGGTGGTGATGAGAGTGGGGAAGGGCAAGTAATAAGAATAGAGCTGCAATTGTTTAATAATTATTCACCTTACTAACTATAGACAAGAAGATTTCTTACAGACCCTGGGAAACTGGAGGATGTGTTGCAAGAAGAAAAAGAGGGCTGTGAAAAGAAATACATTTTGAGAACAAACCAAGGACAGGACATGCTTTGATTTGGTTGCTGTGCCCGGATCCTGACTCCCTCTGGGAGTTTGCCTCAGGAATGCTGACCATTCTTTGGTCCCAGGGATGGGCTGAGCTGTTTGTAACATAGAAGATTAGCCACCTTGTTATCAGATTTTGAGCTCCTGAAGGCTGGACTGCAGACCTTCCCCTCCCCTTTCCCCAATATACTTGTAGCTCACAGCTGTATGTAGCTATCTTCTCCCTCACTGGTATATAATCAGCCATCTGAGAGGGGTCAGAGCAGAGTTTCCACGGTGACTGACTGCTCTCCTCATACTGCCAACATTATTGGAATAAACGCTCATATGTGATTCAGCCCTGTTTCTGCGTAATTTGACTCTAGTAGTGACAGGCAGCCTCGGACCATTTGTGCCCGGTTTCAGTCGTGGTGGTTTTAGGCCTTTGGGTCATGTTTGCTTCCTTAGAAACCACAAAAGGGAAGCTCGACAATCAACTTGTGATAAGGGAAGCCAGTGACATTTTTCACTGATTGCACCTTTCTCTGCTATACACAGTTTATGGGTATAACTGAAATTTTCAGTATTTTGAAAACTAAGTAAGGAATGCTAATCTTCGTGTGCAGTAAATGTTGAGTTTCAAGTAATTGCTTTTACCCTTCTTACATGGAAGAAAGGTCCAAAGACAGGAAGGAAAAAACAAAACCAAGAAATAAAAATTCAGAACAACTTTCTCAAAAATTGGGGCCCCAGAATGAGGTAGCTAGGTAGAGGTGGGCTCAAAGTCTCCTTCTATCCTTTGGTGTCCCCTGTGTTACAGAGGAACCCAGCAAAAGTGTGGCCATGAAGAGGGGCTGCCTGATAAGAGCTTTGGTTGCAGAGGGAGGGGAGGGGGCAGTAAAGACCTGACCCCCTTTCTTCCTTCACCCTCCGTTCTGCCTCTGCCTTCCATTGGTGAATCCAACCAGAAGCCTAAGAGAGGGAGGCCAGAGTGTGGAGGCTGAGGTTCAGACAGGGCTGGGTTTTCACTGCTCCCTTCCCCAAGTAAGGAGCAGGTAATACATTTTAATGAGAGGTTTTTCAATACCAAAATTGATATAGGATATATAATATTAAAGTATTTTCTTGCATTGTTTGGACAAATCTTTACTTGGTTATGGTGTAATTGTCTTTTCATATACTGTTTAATTATGTTCTCCATCCATATCTTGACCATGATGTAAAATATCTATGAAAAAGTCAGGCTTTTCAAAAGGAACCTTTACTGAAATCTACATGGGAAGGCAGAGCATCGTGTCTGACTAAGGATACCTTGAATCTCTTCCTTTTATGCCATTCAGCCACTCTGTCTACATACGACGGTGTATAAAATACAACTGTTTCAACCCCATAGCCCAAGGGCTATCAGAGCTGATGAGCTTCTCGGGCCTTCCCGGATCTGCTTCTTACCCTTTGCTCTAGATATCAGGCCTCCAGATCCCCTTCTCAACACTTAAGGTGTTCTACATGCTCACTTCAGTTTCTAGCAGATAGAAATTATTTTCCTACCCGCCTCCCCAGATTCAATTTCTTTAGTAGGCATAGAGTGAGCACTCAGCGACGCTTGGCTCTTACTCTTATTATTATAATTTTATTTTACTTGTATTTACAACGTAAATAATTCTGAAATAGATATCCATCTGCGTAATTCTTTTACTATAATTCTGATTATTTCTTTGTGACAGGTTCCTAGAAGGATAATTACTCAGGCACAGGTATATGCTCATATTGAATAATCCTATTTTTAAAAGTTACCCAGAAACAGCAATTCAACAGCTTAGTTCATTCAACTACCAGGGAATTCTTGAGCTCTGGAAATTAAATTCCTAGAGTATAAGTTATTTGGCAGATTACAAACCTAACTAAGGCATATGTAAAAATCTAGCCCTCATTAAAATCTCTCTGTAATAGGCCTTTAGCAATAAAGAGAAAATAAAATGAAAGTGTCCCTGTTTAGAGCAAACTCCAAGTCACAGAAGTGCATGTTCAGTGTAGGAGACCTTGGCCCTGGTTTACTGTACTGCTTCAACTACATTCATTCCTTGGCATTTCGTAGCACCTGCCACTTTAAGTCCCTCACTGTGCACTGCCATTGAGAGTTTAGATTCCCTCATCTTTGACCTTTCAATTTAAGGATGTGACTTTTTAACTAATCTTTGACCCATGGGTCAGCAGTTAAGCTGTCCATTCTCTCAGACCTTTTTCACCTTTTGCCTTTTTAAGGACAAAGCCTGTTGTGCATAACTTACACATATTTTCGTCATCTCAAGCCATTCTTAAAAATCTCATGGGGCAGGTGCTGCAAGGGCCAAATTGAATGGATATTATGAGAAACAAGCCTTTAAGATGAGCTTTAGACTTTGGGTTTCTCAGTAAAATTTGGCCTGTTCAAGTTTCATGTCAATGTTATCTTTTAGGAGAAGCTAGAGGAGTATTCTATTTTTTATTTATTTTATTTTATTATTTTATTTTATATTATTTTGTTCAAAATATTACCAATGTCCTCTTTTCTAGAGGAGAATTCTTAACAGAGCCAGTCCTGATATAGCTTTCTCATTTTGAAAGTGAGGTCACTTGCAGGCTGTCTTATGGATGTTAGATAGAAACTG